GTTCGACCTTTGTATTTGTCTCGTCCCTTGCCTTTTGTCCCTCCTCCTGCTCTTTCAACATCTCATTGGATAATTGAATGCGCTCCTCTCGTTCTTTCAACAGCTCATTGTAACATCTCTCGCGCTCCTCTCGCTCTTTCATTAACTCGTCATGATCCTTTTGCCGCTCCTCACGAAGTGCCTCCACCTCAGCTCGCATTGCCTCCATGTCCTTATCGTGTGCTCGTGTTGCAAATATGGTAGAGGGTTGTGGGCCACTCCCAAATCCAAGCAAGTACCTTTTCTTCTGTCCAAGCACTTGCCTTGAAATCTCCTCTTGCGTCAATGGCATCCCCGACTCGATGGCAGCCGCTTGTACATTGACCATCTCTTGCTGTCATTGCAAATAAATAAGACGGAAAAAAACTTTGGCAACATATATGTATTATTGGGTACTAAGTACAAGAAAATATTGAATACATATATTTCCTTGTCATATACTTACATGCAGCTCACGGAATTTCAGATGGATCCAGTCATTCGTTTTCTTTGAAGTGTGGCTGTCCTCATAGAACTTTGGGAAATCCAACTCTCCGTCTTTTGCTACCTGTTAACACATCAACGTATAAATCAATGACACTTTATTCAGATTTTTGCAGACAGATCTGTATGATAACAGAGTCTTTGCAGACAGATTTGTAGTTTAGACACATTTCTTTGCAGACAGATTTGTATAGATAAATTTTCATTAACAGATTTTAAAACAAATTGCTGGACAGATTTGGAGACAGATTTTTAGACAGATTTGCTACCAGATTTTCAAACAGATTTGCAGCCAGATTTTCAGACAGAGGCAGCAGTATTCTAGTAAAGTACTTGAGATTACAAGAGTATTCTAGTAAAGTACTTGAGTATTCTAGTAAAATAGAGGCAGCCAGATTTTCATGATGTACTTGAGAAGGTATATTGCTTAAGCTACATAAATTAAAAAATCCAGCAAAGTAGCTGGAAAAGGTTTTCGATTAAGGTCATATTGTTAGATTGGGTAATGATGCGTGTTAACTAGATGGACTTTTATGATTTCAGGTTGGTCTTAAATATAATGAATCTAGTGTGATAATGATAACTGGTTGTCCTAATGGTTATGCTACACCCTACATGGCTGAAGTTGGATTAGTTGGTGATGGTCCTAATTTTGTATCAGGTATTTAAAGTTCACCGCATTTCGGATGGATCCAGTCATTCGTAAATGTTGAAAGTGTGGCTATCCTCGAAGAACTTAGGAAAATCCAACTCTCCATTTTCTGGTACCTGTTAACACATCAACGTATAACTGAAAGACACTTTATGCACCAAAGTTGAGCCATAAGATTTTTTGCATACACTATGTCAATACGAGAAGAGTTATTGCAGACAGATTTTTTAATTTATACAGAGTTCGAATTCAAAGAAATTATCATTAACAGATTTATATTTTCCAACATTTTTTTGCGAACACATATGTTCAGCTTTTCTGAAACAATTTTTTGTCCAATAGATTTTTGCAAACAGATTTTCAATAGCCACTTATAATCACTTCAGATTATGTGTATTATAACATGTGTATGTACAGGAATATCTGTTTTTTGTGAATGTATTAACTTAAATCTAAAACAAATAGAGCTACAAGACTAATAATCTGAAGTGAAAAACATAGTATAGTTTAGATTTGGGGCAGTATAGTTCAGATTTTGTGAGACAGATTTCGAATGAAAAACAGAGTATAGTGTAGACAGATTTAGAATGCAAACATGTGGCTGGGGTATCAATAACAGATTTTTTCTAGACAGATTTTTTGCAAACAGTAAATGTTTACTAACAGAGTTTAACATATATATATATATATATGTATCACAACAGAACATTTTTCATATCCAAACAACATATAATGGATTCAAGTTTAAAAAAAATCGAACTCACCATAGCAGCCATTGCGATAGGAAATGAGCGCCATTGGTATGATTGTACGGCAATTGACTCCTATTACTCTTGCCATCTTTTGACCGTTTCTAAAAATAAGTCAAGCAGATAAACAATTTATAGGTAAATATTAAGGCATATCATATTTTCACATAGATGTATGTACTCTATCTAGTCTATTATTTTACCTGGTGAGATGCATCTTGCCATGCCACATCGATCAAATGCTTCCAATTATCTAAACTCACCCCTACGGGCGGATGAGCATAGATCTCTTCACGTGGAAGTCCCTCTAACAATTCGAACTCTTGCTTCAAGGTGTACCTCCAATCTTTGTACAACCCACAGGCCTTCTTATTCATAATCTCTTGTGCTTGTAAGTCATTGTGGAAATCGTCTCCAATTTAAAACTTGTCCAATAAGCAAAACAAATTGAAATTGTAATCATTAAATATTAGTCTTTCTTATTAGCATACACATAGAGATTACATCTTGTGGACAAGTAATATTAGTTACAAGAACTCCTTGGATGATGGCAGCTTTTGCAGTCCCATCAAGATCCAGCCATGACTTCATATCTTTCAAAAGGCACAAGGTTCTAATTTGAATTCCTAACTCGTTAGTTGCTGGAGTGGCATACTTGCCAGTCATTGCCTTCAACTTACGATCGATGTGAACATAACATTTTTCCCCTTTCTTGGCTCTAATTATTTTTTGTATGCCTTTGCCAAGTGTCGGTCCGTGTACACGTAGGGGCTTCGAAGTCCCTGTTAACAAAATAACAACATGAAAATTGGCTAAAAATTGCCTACAAAAAAACAATGGCAATGGCATGTGCTAATTAACAAATTTGATACACTTTAATCTTACCTACGCCGCTCGGCTGCGTTTCGGATGGGGCTTGTGTCTCATCAGAATCAACCATTGGTTGGCTAGTGACATGCTGAGATGGTCCCACATTTGATCAGACGGGGAGAACAGGAGATGGAGCAACGGGTGATCCTAAAGGAATAGCAGCCGGCGAGTCTGTTTCTAGCTGCGTGAGTGTCTTCTTCCGAAGCTGACCAGTCTTTAAGCCAGGAACCATTTTCCAATCTGCAATAACACAAGTAACACTATAAAGCATGATATGCCTGCTTTAAAATAAATTAGACAAAAATAATTTAGAAGGCATGAACTAACTCAACTAATACCTGAACTAAATTAGATAAAAATAATTTAGAAGGCATGAACTAAATTACACAAAAACAATAGAAATAAATAAAAGTTCGTCACAGAAAAAGAGTACACCCAAATAATGCTTGATTATTGCACTTTCAAACTAGAAGAATAAGGAATGGATCACATCAGGGCATCTAACTCTTATATAAAAACGGGAGAGAAGGAATAAGTTAACCGACCTTGAACTGTTTGCTGATCTGTTTAAGCTGATATGTTTGCTGTTGCTGATGAGTATTTTCTGCTACTATTTGTTGACTTTTGATGTTTTGTTCCCTGCTGCTATTTGTGGAATGTTTTGACTTTGGATCTGTTTTTAGTTCTGGATCTGTTTTGTGTCACATGAATTAACTGGTAGTTTGCTTGTGCGTCCCACACCTTTATCTGTCCACAAGCAAACGAAATATGTAATTGACCAATAAGCATGGAATGATTACAAACAGTGAATTGTTTAAGTTGCTTGCAATGTCTAGTATGTTGATGGATTACAATTAGACAGAGATTCTCAAAAGAAAGGAATTGTTCAGGTAAATTTATTTGTTTTTCTCACTACCAATGCTAGTAAAAACTTAAGATTTTTTTTTTTTTGCTAAATTTTTTTAATCAATATCATATATTGGACACAATATTAGTACAATAATGAGCATATATGTAGAGAAACGTTTGCTGGATTTGATCCCAACACTGTTGCAAAAATGGGGGAGAAAGAGATCATGGAAATAGCATCCAACAAAGCAATAATCCACAAGGAAAAAATATAAACACTCTGAAATATTAGTAAGAATGAATTGCCTCTTATGGATGTTTACATCTCTATTTGTAGATTAATCATAATTCTTGCAGAACATAAATAGCTAAGAAAAGGGAAAATCACTAAAATGACAAATTTAAGTCCAAACTTGAATACTCCTTGATTTATAAGACATGCCAAAATAAGTGGTGCCGAAAGCACAAACTTCAAAACAAAGTTATAGAAAGAATAAAACTTTCCTAAAATAGGAAAAAGCTATTTTGAAAGCCTAATCAATGGAATTTAGCCAATTCCACATGCATCGTTGCCAAAGGCAATGGATTGTGTTCAACTTGTTATGGGTGATCAAAACTACAACTAAATTTGAAGTAATTATGAGATCGTCCCAAATTGTCCGATCTCATTAGTATGATCCCCTCATTAGCATGGCTTCTCTTTCCTGACCTATTCTCGGACTTGTACCGCACCACTTATTTTAAAAAAACTGAACTGACAAATAGACTATGGCATGCAAAGCATGGTAAATTAGTATTGATGCAATGAGATAAAAAAACTGAACTGACAAATAGAATCTGTGGTTACAGTCATCTGTCCCTACAATGTTTCATCATTTTGCAACAAAACCCCCACAAAAAAAATAATAAAATAAAATAAATAAAAAGAAAAGAAAAGAAGAGGTGTGAGCAAGATAACTAAAAATGAACTAACAATCAAACAAACAAAAATAGTTAATTACTAAAATGATTACCTGTTAACAGTATTGCTAACTGAGTTGTTCTCTACTTTCTTCATTGTATTACTATCAGCTTTGGTTTCTGTCTCCCCACCCTCCCAAACAACCTCTGTTACTGAAGCATAATATGCACAAATCAATTGAAAGCGGGTGAAGGACAAACTCAGTAAGAAATAAATACTCTATTAACAGAGCACAACTTTGAGGGAATAACATGCTGAAGATGGTTCTGTTTAGAGTTACTACAGGCATACACATAGAGATATGTTAAAAGTCTTTTTTTTCTTTTTTAAACAATGCACCTCTAAAGGATATTTGCTGTGACTTGGAACAACGACATGTGCTATCCACTCCCAGCACTGTTGCACGGGTTTGAGTCATAGCAATCAGTTGTGGTGGACCACAAAAGCAATGTTTAATTGAAAATCAGTCAGTTAACAAAAGACTATCTTCCAGCTCAAGCAGGCAAAAATTGTTTACATCCAAACTAGTACCATTTTCGGAGATTTGCTATTCAATGATATGACCTTAAAAATGACATGATTGTTAGCATTGCCTTTCATGAAAAAGAAGGGAAAACACACTTGTTAAAATGGAATTTAAAGCACCACTTAATGAGCTACTTTGAAAAATACTTCATGTGTTTTGTTATAATGCTGTTCTTCTGGTGATTTTTTTTAAGCACTGTTTTTTATGAGAACTTCAAGTAGTAAACATGGAGTTTACTACAAAATTTCCAAGAGGAGAAGCGTAAACAAGACCTGGTAGGGAGCTGTCTAAGATTGTGAGAGAATTGCTTTCTGATCCAAAGAGCTCTGCCAGTGCAGAAAAACCATCACGAGCTAGAAAGGTATGGTTCTCAATCTCCAGCAGTGCTGAAATGCAGTATGATTATGTTAATTAGTTGAAATGCTCAGGTAATCTTCGAACAATGACATGGGTGTGTACTAATTATTCTTTTATACCAAGTTATTTGCATATATCATTCCTTGAGTTAGTTACAAGCACTGACTGCTTAATGGAAATGACATACTTTTTTTTTATTATCTACCAAAAAAATATAGTCAAAGTATGTAAAGTGCACAATTCACAAAACCAACCTTATAGGCAGTGATCCCAAAACCACACCACTACAGTTCAAAGCAGCAATTGCACTGTCAGCCTGCAAGAAAATAGAGCCTAGCATAAAAACTCCATCTTTTACAGAGAAAGATAAGCCACGCGGTGAAAAATAACCAACAAATAAACAGCACAAAGAAACCATGTTTGCAGCAGATCAAAACCATACATGACACCTTGCACTAAGCAACTAAGCAGACTACAAGGACTCAGCCAACATGCAGCAGATCAAAATCACTATGTCACCATTGCTAGGGTCTGATTTGGTTTATTTTTTCACCCTGAATTTTTTATGAGAATTATCCCAGTACAGGTCTAAACATTAGCAGAATCACTTATATTAATCTACATCCATGTGAGGGAACAATGCATGTGGTCACTTTTCAATTGTGTAATCACAAGCCTTGAAGAGCATAATAGCTGTCATATCAATTGGTTGGATCCTTTGATAATTCACTGGTTA